CAGCTGTGCCCCTAGTTCTTTTGGAGGCAAAAATAAGAAGTGATTTTGCGTTCTAGAATGTTCTGAGAGGAGCTACACCACAGGTAAGTTGGAAAGTGAAACAGTGGTGAGATATTAAAGGGTTGGGCTTCCCTGTTGGCAAGCAACAGCATGACTGCATGACTTGGGAGGACCTTTGGCAGGAATCTGGCTACACAAGCCATTTTTCCCAGACAAGAGCTATGTGTGTGGGTGTAAGGTCTTGAAGCCAGACAGGGGGAAAAAAAAGTGAACAACAGTCTCTGGTTGCTGTTTGCTAGGACATGCTATGTGACAAGATGGTGTCAGCGACCTGAGTCTCCCTCTCCTTCACCCTTAGAAGCTTGTAGGTTTCAAATCTGTGACTCCTGACCCTGACCCTGTTAGTATATAGGCAGTTCTACTGGCTTGCTCTCAGGAACCTAGAAACTGCTGGCAAACCTACTAGGTTTGTCAGGTGTGTGTTTCTGATTAAAAGGACCATTAGCCACCTCAGATCTCTCTCTCTGCTTCCTCCTCTCCCTCCCCACCTTCTTGTCTCCCTTGTCTGCATGGTGACTTCTTCAGTCTTGTCCCCTGAGACAGGTGAATTCACCTGGGAGCCATTCCTGAATAAACCTGCTTTTATTCTTTTAATTTGACTTGAATTGACTTATTTCGTCTCAAAGAAAACCTATTAGAAGCTACCTTCATTTATCTAGGGGTATCCTAGACACATGCTTACTTGTCTACCACAGACACCATAACCATTTTTACTCTTGAAAGAAACAGTATTTATTGGGAATTATAGTCAGCCTTCTGTTCTGAAATGGTGGTATCACTTAGGATTCTGTGGGTGATTTTGGGAGAAAAGATCCCAGAACTCAGGCAGGTCTGTTTTTTTTGTTTGTTTGTTTTTTGTTTTTGTTTTGTTTTTAATCTAGGAAACTCATTCCTGGGAGGCAAGTGCCAGCTTGGTAGTATATACTAATGATACTTAGCCTTTCAAAAAGCCACTGCTTGACTTGAGAGATGGTTGTTAGCAAAATGTTTGCCTTGCAAGTATGAGAAGCTGAGTTCCATCCCAGAATTTCAGAATTGATATTTAAAAATAAAGGTTGGACATGGTGGCATGTGCTTGTAACAACTGAGGAGGTAAAGAGGGGCAGCTTCTAGAGTCTGCCATGCAATCATGAGGACCTGAGTTTAGATCCCCAGAACCAATTTAAAAGTCAGGTGTGGCAGTGCCCATATGTAACCCAGTGATAGGTGCAGAAGGCAGATCCTGGGGGTTTGCTGGTGAGCCAGTCCAGCAGAAATGGTGAGGTCCAGGCTCAGTAAGAGATCCTATCTCAGAAAGTAGGTAGAGAAGCAATTGAGTAGAACAGACATCAACCTCTGACCCCTACACTTTCCTGGATGGGTTAGCACATCAGCACATATACATATACCACATGTATAAGCACAGATGCATTGCACACTGGCATTCCAGAACAGATATTTGGAACCCATGCCAGAAGAACCTAAAAACTATGCTTGGACAGGTCTACATAATGAGGGCTAACTAGAAAATCTAGTTATCATCTTTGAGGGAGCTTTGGATTCACAGTCAGTTCCCTATTCCTTATAGACCGTCAAGTAGGTATTAACCCTGGGCATTCTGGCCCTTTAAGATGGCTTTAGGTTGTATGGGATCCTGCTTGCTGCTGTTCAGTTGAGAGACCTGAAAGTGAAGCCGTCTGTGTGAGTTGAGAGAATTAATCCTTATTGTGGATTGACAATAATATAGGTAAAGAAGATTAGTGACTTAAAACCATTTGGCTCTCCTCTATTTAACAAACTTGTGGCTCTCGGGTGGTAGAAGCAGAACCCTGGGGGGGGGGGGCGGATTCAGATGGCTGACTGTCCACTGAGAGCTGTTCGCTCAGATTGTCATATCAAAATGCTGAAGTAAGCCAAGTGCGGTGGCTCGTTCCTTTCATCCCAGCCACTCAGGTGATCAAGGGTTTGAGATGACCCTGAGTTATACAGGGAGCTACAAAGTAAGACTCTTAATGTTTTTTTTAAAGTAGTGATTAAGAGAGGTTTTGTAACATGAGCCTATAATTGCAGTGTTTAGAAGGCTGAGGCAGAAGGATGGAGAGTTCCTCAGCTCAATAGTGAGTTCAGATCGTCTTGGACTACAGAATGAGACCCTGTCTAAAAAAAAAAAAAATTTTTTTAAAGGAGAAAATAAAAGAACAGAGGCAGCTTCCTCTTCCCACACCACTGAGGCGGGCTCAGGTGGTTTGTTTATTGAGCTTTCATAATAGTCCATGAGGGCACTAACAAAGGCTAGTGTGTGTGACTGATGAGGCACAGTAGGCCTGGGAAGGAATTGAGATGCTCTGAAAAGACTTCCCAACCTGAAGCAGCCCCATTTGTGATGCTATTAGCACTGGAGCTGGGGAGGTAAGTGGTTTCTCAGTCCTTTATCCCACGAGTGTGATAAAATACCTGACAGCAGCAGCTTATGGGAGGAGGGGTTTGGGGTCATTCTGCACCTATATCCAGAAAGCAGAGTGTTGGATGCTGAGATAACTTCTTTTCATGCATTCTAGACTCAAGTCAGGGGACCCTGCTGCTTTGCTTTACTGTGTCTGTCTACCTCAGTTAACTTAAGCAAGATAATCCTCACAGGCATACCAAGGGCTAACCTAACCTAAACAATCCCTCATGGCTGTGAACGGAACTTGTCTACTAGGTGGTTCCAGATCCTGTCAAGTTTACAGCTAACATTGACCACCACAAGTAGCTAGTCATGACCTTTGGGGTCTTGTGTTCTAGAGGTCCCCAAGTCCTTTGAATTTAGTTATTGGCCTAATTTCATCATAGGTTTTCCCAAGTGCTTAGATGTTCTGTGTCCCTCAAGGGATGGCTGTTGGGCAGCTTTATGTATCCTTGGAAACCAAATCTTCTTATGAGTTTTAAAGCACACCCCACCTCCCACCTCAAGCCACTTGTATTCTTAGTACAGTGTTGATGGGCTCAGTGTAGAAGGTTCTAGAACATCTTGATAGTCATGCAGCAATGCCTTCTCTGTTTTATTGTTTTATTTTAAAGCAGTAAAAGGCACAGGCCCTGGGAACAATGACATTTCTCTGCATCAGTCGTCAGTCTGTGGAGTTTCTGTTATCAAAATTTCCAGAAAGGATTGTTTACAGAACATTTATTTTTAACATGAATCAGTGACATTTCTTATCCAAACATTTTTTTTGTTGTTGTTCTAACCTTCTGTGGACTCTGGTCCACATAACCAGTCCCTGTCATCCATCTTTTGAGAGCAATGTTACAGGAATGGAAAGAAAGGTGCACCCGTTTCTTCCAGAATTGAGAAGCAAGGTGATTTTTTTTTTTAGGTGAACTCCTGCTAGGCCTGTGTTCCTAGATTTCAGAAGCTGCCATAATGGGGCTCAGAGCACCTGGAGGGTTTGTTAGAGTGTGTATATTGAGGGGCAGCAGCAGAAGCTGTGTGTGGGAGACTAGGGATGAGAAATAAAGAGGGGTGATGGCCTAGCTCTGCATTTTGTGCATCAGGCCTGGCACAGTAATCATTTTCATAATCTTTCCACTTTGTGTTTTAGATTCTGAGAAATATGCCGGAGAATTAAAGGATTTTTTATGACTCCCAAACCGAACCTCATGAATGGGCTCAGTTGTTCCTTGGGGGAGGCAGAGGTCTATCCTGTGTCATCTTCAGACTTTACTCACTGGCCACATTCCTAGAGGCCTGGCCACCCTGTTGTGTCGTGCCTAGCATGCTCTGTTGCTGCAGCCCCTGTATACCTGGCATCTGGTCTTGGTGTGCACTGGGCATACTCAGGGTTCTGCCAGGCATGGCTGGAGTCTGAATTAGAAGCTCTGCTCCTCTAGGACTCGCTTACAAAAAACACTGTGTTATTTTGGTCATAAAATCACCCCTCTGAAATACCTTATGACAGATTGTGGTTTGGTTTATTGTTGATGTAATTACTTGTCTCTGTCTTCTATAACCTTATTCTAAAATATAAGGGTTAGAGTTAGTTCATTTTATATTTGAGCTTATATAATAATTCTGTTTCTGTTAGAGTTATTTAATTTACAATTACCTAACACTTTGTTTTTAGATTTATTTTCATATTAAAAATAATATACTAAAATTATTTAGATAGAAATAATTTTTATGTTCTAGATATTATTTTTAACTTTTTTTCAATCAATGCATGCTAAAGTTTTTGTCTTGGTTTGATTTTTGTGTTTTTTAAGACATAGTTTCTCTGTGTAGCTCTAGCTGTCCTGGAACTTTCTCTGTAGACCAAGCTGGCCTCAAACTCAGAGATCTGCCTACCTCTGCCTCTGAGTGCTGGTTTTAAAGGTATGTGCCACCATACCCAGCTAATTTTTAAATTTTATGCTTAACTTATTTTAAAGACATACTTTTAGTAAAAGACAGCAAGTAACTTTTCTCTCTATGAGGGTAAAAATATCTAGAGCTTACAAAAAATAAGTGCATTTATTATTTGTGTGTGTGTGTGTGTATGTATGTATGTATGTATGTATGTATGTATGTCAGAGACAACTTGTATAAGTTGGTTATTTGCTAACATCATGTTAATCCTGAGGATGGAGCTCAGGTCTAGTGGTAAGCACCTGTAGATGGTGACCCATCTCATTGGTCTTGTCTAGGGAATTTAAAAGTAGCCATTGTGAAAAAAATATAACAGTGATTTTAAAAAAGAACAAAACCTTCTATATATATGGAAAAAACATGGCAAGTAGATTTAAGCAGAACAGAATTTCTTGAGAATCCATCAGGAATCAAGGGTCTGAGGCATTGTCTAGTTTCTGACTAGTTTTGCGTATCTGACTATTAATCCAAGTTGAGACCCCAAATTCTTTCCTTGCTAACATAGAAAGTCTAAGTTAGAAATGAAAATGTCCATCCTCATTGTCCTCTGATGATTTCCTGTCTCCTGTCTCTCCAGATGGTGATCTGTCATGTGGTGGGTGAGACTCTCCAGTTCTTGGTCAGTGCAGGGCCTGCCTCCACCACAGGCTCAGAATGCCAGCTGTATGATGTCCGGCTTTCCCCATTTCATTTAAAGGTAAGGCTGTGTAGATGCTATCAGTCACAGGAAATACACGGTAGTCTTGATCTTGTGTTCCCTACCATAGGAGGGACACAGGGAGGATTCCTCCATGCTGAGTTACAGGGCTCTGAGTATCATTCTTATTAATTATGAATCAGGTCATTATCTTTAAACTGTAAGTCACCATGAACATGACACAGAAAAGCACACCACCCTGTACGGTCTATACCCATCATAGATGATGACTCCCCACAGCTGTGTAGTTGAAGTCTCTTCTTCTAGTTCTTTCATCCCTATATACTCTGTCCCCTCTCTAAGGCCATGTGGAACTGCCCACCTTACCTATTGCAAGTGGACACAGTTGATCTGATACAAATATCGGCACTTTGAGGGCTACAGGACTGCAGGCTAATAATGTTACTGTTGGCTATATATTCGTGGTAAAGAGCTTGTGTACCACCTCACTCTTTGCTTGGTCACTGTACCCTGTTCTTTTTCAGCTCAGTTACCATGCGTGAAGTTCTCAAACCATACCTATTGGCCTGTTCTCCTTCTAACCTCTATCATTATTAAAGATGCTTATGATTCCTTTTGGTCACCTGGAGATATAAGATGTTCTCACCACATTAAGGTCCAGGCCCTAATCACACCTGCCAGGTCCTGTTTACTATATATAAGGCTTCATGGATGAAGGCCTGGTCATCTTCCCATGACTCTGCGTACTCTACATGAGTATACTGTCCAGTACAGGAGAGCAGTGGGCTGCTGGAGTGGCCCAGGTGAGGGGAAGTATCCCTTGGTTCTCTCTATATAATCCCAGGGACATGTGGACATGGATACTGGCCATTCCCAGAACTGAAGACAGGGTGCGCTGGGTCCCTGTGCTCTCTCCACTCTCCTATGCCTTGGTGACAGAAAAGGAAGCACAGAGCACAGGGAGCTCCTCATTTAAATAAGGCTATGGAGTGTCAGTGACACCTGGCCTGAGGGGCTACCTGGACAGAGGGGAGACTGGAAAGGAGTTTAGCAGGATCTTCACATCTATTCTGGAAGAACATGATAGACCAAGGCAGAAGCTGAGCTGTTGTCTGTGAGAACATGTGACTAAAGGAACACACAGGGCTGGAAGGATGGCTCAGTGGTTAAGAGCACATGCTGTTGTTGCAGATGACCTGGCTTTCATTTCCAGCATCCTCATGGTAGCTTACAGTCTTTCATAACTCTAGTTCCAGATGGCATTTCACCTCTTCTGTCCTCCAGGGGCACCAGGAATGCATACAGTATACTGACATACACACAGGCAACTCATACATATTATCTTAATTATTTTTCGGTTGCTGTAATAAAACACCATGACCAAAGCAACTAGGGAGGAGAGAGTTCATGCCAGCTTATAACTCTCAAATAACATTCCATCACTGAAGGAAGTCAGGGTAGAAGCTCAAGGTAGAAACCTGGAGGCAGGAACTGAAGCAGTGGCCATGAAGGGGTACAGCTTACTGGCTTACTCCCCCATGGCTTGCTCAGCCTGCTTATATAACCTAGGGCCACCTGCTCAGGGGTAACACTGCCCACTGTGAACTGTGTTCTTCCATATCAGTCACTAATCAAAATCCATACATACTTGATTATAGGCTAATCTGCTATGATTTCAAGCTATGTTTAGGTTTGGGTCATGATAACAAAAATCAACCAATACCCACATGAAATAAAAATAAATCTTAAAAAGATGAACACACAGAGAGCTTTAGTGCATATGGACACAGCACTCTGCATGCACATATGATATGGATGCACACCTTGTACAAATACAGCACACATTACACAATGTGCACATACAAATGGCACATGTATACACAGTATGCACACACATGACACACATAACAGCATCCATATAAGATATAATAAAGGGTCATGTGAAGATCTCAGCCACCCAGTAACTGTTGCTTGGTGGATTGTTCTCATAGGTGGAATTCCACATGGAAGAGAAGAGAGAGGACATCCAGATCAGGTGGTCTTTTACCCATGTACCAGAAACAGCCATCACGATCCAGCCCCAGGCCCCAGGGGAGGTCAGTCCGTAAGTTTTTATCATTCTTTCACTGGTTTGAGGATGCATGAGTGGCTAGGGCATGTCTAGAATTGGGCAGCTTGAAAGTGGATGGCCCCTGCCACCCACTCTCCCCATTCTCCCTTAGGATACAAGGGACGGGGCTCTGTGGGAACAGCTTTGATAGAGAGGACAATTTCCTTTCCACTTTCTGGGGCTTTAGGGTATGAGGACAGAAGCTGGGCTGCAGTGAGTGTGTGGAAAGTGTCCCGGTGTCACTTTCCTTGTTGCACAAGGGAATTCTTTCTGTGGCTTTTACAGAATTCCCTTGTAGTTCTGCTCCATTTCAGCCAGGTCAGCCACGGAAGCCTCACCTCAGTAGAGAGGTGTGGACTTTGCAGGGTGTTTGCACAAAGATACTTCCCCTCTTCTCCTTTCATCTCACTTCTGTCTTTCCTCTCTTTACTTTTTTTTTTCTTCTGGAGCCGGGAATGGAACCCAGGGCCTCGGACATGCTAAACAAGTGCTCCATCCCAGTCCCATCACTGTCCCAGCCCCATCACTGTCCCAGCCCCATCACTGTCCCAGCCTTCATACTTGTATGTAAATGTGCACAATGTAAGGATTTTGTTGGTTTGACTTTGGTTTGGTTTGAGCTGGTAAATTTCACACACACACACACACACACACACACACACACACACACACTGACTGAGGAAAATTAACTAATATAAGATTGGTAATACAGCTACCCAGGAGCAAAACAAAGAATCTTGAACACAGAATGGTCCCCTTCTCAGCAGAAGAGATTGAACATGTCAGGGTTTGTCTGTATGGACTGCAGGCCTGGACAACTGATGTCATTGTCTGAGAGAAGCAAACAGCAGAAGGAAGGAGGAAGAGAGAATGAATTGGGGTGGCGCCTTCCTTCTCCTTCTGCTTCTTGCTTCTCTCTGATGATGCCATCATTTGTCTAGGCCTGCAGTCTACATAGGCATGTGGAAAAGGGAATTTCTTATGAGAAAATCACCAGTCTGTGTGATTCCTTGAGTCATTTCCCCCCATGGGTAGCTGTGTACCAATCTGATACTGATTAATTTGCCTCAGTCAGTGTGCAAGCATAGGATTTCCCCATCTTTGTTGATATATATATATATATATATATATATATATATATATATATATAAATTTTTTTTAAATTTTTATGTGTATGAGGGTTTTTGCCTGCATAGGTGTCTGTGTATCTTGTGTGTGTAGTGCCATCAGTCCAGAGTTCCTCTGTCTACTGAGTAAGAAACCATTGTGCAGGTCAGACAGAGAAAGAAGAGCTCAAGGTGAGGCACAGTCTAACATGGGACATTATTCAGCCAGGAGTGGAGTGATGTGCTGGTGCATGCTGTATCCTGATTAGCTTTGCAAACAGTAAACAAAGCCTGATTAAGGAGACATATGTGGCATTATGACACATGAAGTCCAGAGGAGGCAATCCACAGAAAAAGAAAGATGGATGACAAAGGTTGGAGACGTGACTCTTGATAGGATGGAGTCTGGGGTTTATCTTTAAGGAGTAGTGAACATATTTAAGTAGTGGATGCTTAGTACTACGTATGTCCAAATGAGCAGTCCAATGCACATTTTAAATGATTATTGTATACCATGTATCTTTCATTTCAACTTAGGTTATCAAGGGTCCATTTAAGGCATAAGTAATGGCCTCCTTCTTCAAAGCACAGGCTCTTAACTGTTTCAACCACTTGGATTTGACTCTTGGTTCTCCTAATTATGGACTGTGTGGCTCTGTGAATGTCACCTGACTTCTCTCTGCTTAAATGTCCTTATCTGTGAAGTGGAGGGAATGTGATGTAAAGGGTTAAGCTAGTTAATCCATGTGTGTGAGAGAAGCTGGCTTTCAGTGAGAGCCATGGAAACATTAACTGTTTTGGTTCTTGGTACTTAGAGGCCTTATGTTTTAGAGATTCAATAGATACAGGCCAAGTTCACTGTAGGGAGGCCTGGCTAGTCAGGGGGGAGGCAGCCAGTTGTCTTTGAACAACACAGAATGCTCCAGTTTTCCTTTCTAAAGTCAGTTCCTGCTGTACATGTTGCAAGTGTCAAGCCAGTGGGAACCTTGCCTATCTAGCCAGATGGGTCCCCCAGTGAGGGGAATTGGCACCCAAGGTGCTCTCAAGCTGCCTACTATAGAATGGCATTGGAACCAAGGTGCTAGATCTTGGCAGCACTTGACCATCACAGCTTCTCTCCCCAAATCTCAGAAAGATGGCACGGATGCTTGGGCTGCACCACAGTGGGTCCTGTCATCTTAGCAAATGTCCACGCAGTCCTTTTTCTCAAAAGTTAAAATGAAAGCTATAATACTGAAATAAGACCCAAGGAGACCAATGTATCTTTCACATTAATTGAGATTTTAAAAATACACACTTTAAATCTGGGTATGGTACCATAGGCCTGTAATCCTGGTCCATGGGAGGCAGAAGCAAGAGGATCATGAGTTTGAGTCCACCTTGGGATACACAGTGAGATTTTGCCTTAAAAAACCCAAGGTCTGGCAATGTAGTCCAGTGATAGGATACTTACCCAATATAGGAAAAGCCATAGGCTCTATCTTTAATACTGAAAAATTAAATAAAACCCAAAACCTGTGCACTAAAAACATTTATAGCAGTGGTTATCAACCTTCCTAACACTGGAATCTATTATACAGTTACTCATGTTGTAGTGACACCCAAATAATAAAATCATTTTGTTGCTACTTCATAACTGTAATATTGCTACTGTTATAAATCATAATGTAAATATCTGATATGCAGGACAGCTGATATGTAGACCCATATGAAAGGGCCGTCTATCTCTAATGGGGTCGTGACCCACAAGTTGAGAACCACTGATTTATAGAGGTCTGCTGCACAGACCAGAACCATGCACACATGAACAAGCACCAGTACCCAGATAGGAATGGTGCAAAACGAGTCCCAGGAAGCTTACTGTGGTCCCTTCACAGGCTTCACATGGGGTACTGAGACCCTGACATCTTGAATTTGGGAGATGTCTAAATTACTGAGTGGTAGCAGTTAAAGCTCAATTCATAACTTGATGGGATCTGTGGAAACAAGCTTCCAAACAAGTCATTGAGGGAGCTTCATTTGAGATGGCAAGACCCATCCTAAATGCGGGCAATACCATCTCATAGGCTAGAATCCCAGCATGAATGAAGGAAAAACAAGTTGAGACAGAATTCATCTCTCTCTGCCTCCTGATACACACTGTGATTAGCTGCTTCACAGTTTTGCTACCTTGCCTTCCCTGTCATGATAGACTGGGCCTTAAAACTGTGAGCCAAAATGAACCTTTATTCCTTAAGTGGCTTTTGTTAAAGCAACAAACCAGATAACCAATACAGCTACAATCAACAGATCCAATAACTGAAAGCAGCACATATTTATTGCTGTTCAGTGTTTGGGCCCTGAAGTCTTTGCACAGCTTATCTTGTCCTAAACCCTGGCTCTATTTGCTTGCCATCAAGTTCTTGACGAGGCTGTGCTCCTCTACAGGTCAGGGGCCTCTTCAGCCCCACATAGTTGGTAACATGATTAGTTCATTATGTACTAAGGTCCCCAATTTCTCAATGGCTGTGCTCCTGAAGACTGCTGCTATTCCTGGCTTGTCATGAGCTTGCAGAACAGTGGCAGTCCTAAAGGTAAGAGCTAGCATCAAACTAAAGTTGCACAATGTCGTCTGATGGTTTAACATCTAGCACACCTGTCTGGTACTTGTATCTGGCATGCAGTGATCTGATGACCTGTCTCTCTCCAGAAGCAGCTGCTCAGGGTAAACATGCTTTCTGAAGCCCTTGAGGATCTTTTCAAGCAACTAGTTAGTGCTGCCTCTCCATCTGTTTTTCTGAGCACCAAGCCCATGCAGGTCAAAGAAACTCAGGTAAGCCCAGATCACAGGACACAGGATATTCTGATCAGAACTCCATACTGGGAATGGTTGCCAGGCCACTCACTGCTGAAGCTATGGTCCTCCAGTTTGTACTTTTCAATAGACAGTGTCAGCTGGTGTCAGGGTTTGATGCTAAGTTCTAGGTGACTAGGATCACAGAAATACAAGAGGCCATCTTTATCCTCCTTCACTTATAGGGTGTAGGCAAAGCTCAGCTAGCAGAAAAGGGCAGCAGGAGGGTTATAGTCTTCCCTCTCAGAGGCATAAGGCAGGGAGAGTCAGTCTTTCCAAATACCACCATCAGTTATACATCTACAGAGGTAGAAGCAAGCCCAAGCTACTTCATCTTCTAGTAATCCTATTAATAGTGGATTCTTGGAGAACAGAGGGGACTAGTAATTGGAAATATAAAAATCTGAGATAGTTCACAAAATAGTTTTGTATTTTCAGAATCCATGAACTCAAAAACAAAAGGTCCTAGGCTATCATATCTAACCACATTCTAAAATGAAATTGTCCTGTTTCATTAAGTGCCATACCCATGACAGCTCTCCAGAGAAATTGAACACTTAAGCATGGGGATGAGAGAGATTTACAACATATGTTATGATGTTATGGCTAATAAATACATGGTGTGATTCCAGCTCATGTCTGAAGCCTTAAACATTGGGAAAGTTGATAGTTTGGCTCAACTCCAAACTGACCACTGGCTCAGAGCTCAAAGCCCAGGAAGACTAGAGTTTCTGTTTGATTCTAAAAGCAGAAAAAAACTATGCCCCAGCTTGAGCTGTCTGGAAGGAGGAATTCTTTCTCATTTGGGGATGGCTCAGACTTTTCTACTCAGGCTTTCAACTGATGGAATGAAGCCCATCCCACTAGCCATCTACTTTATTCAGTCTGTCCATTTAAATGTTGGTCTCTTGGGCTTATAGTTGGAGGGGTCCTCCTGTAGCATGCAACATCCATAAAATGCAGAATTCAATTTCTAAGACTATATATCTTAGGCATGGTGGCATATGCCTCTAATACTAGCACGCAGGAGGCAGAGGCCAGAAAATCAGAAGTTCAAGGTCATCCTCCATTACAGAATGAGTCTAACGCCAACTGAGTCTGCATGACACATGACACAATACCCTGTCTCAGAAAAAAAAGTCTGTCTTGAACATTGATCCCATTCCTAACAGCCGTCATAGAAACATTCAGAATATTATTGACCAAGTACCTTGGTATTTATGGCCTAGAAGTAGAACCCTTATAACTTAGTGGTTAAAGCACTTGTGCCAGTATGAAGACTGGAATTTGGATTCCTAGGACCCAAAGTAAATGCCTGGTAGGCATGGTAGTCTGCCTATAATTTTAGTCTCTGAAGGCAGAGGCCAGGGTGTTCAAGGGAGAGACCCTGCCTTAATGACTAAGGTAGAAACTGATTAAGGATTACACCTGATCGTAACCACGGGCTTTCATATGCATAGACATGTTCATGTTCACACACATGTGAGTCTCCCACATATACATACGTGTGCACATACTCATGAAGGAAAAAAAAATAGCCAAACGTACACAACTGACAAAGTATCTCATCTCTAACCCATCCCTTGCTTTAAGGGCAGCCAGTGCCTGATGCCCTTCTGAGAATGAAATAAGACTGCACCTGCCTCTGTTCCCTCGCTTGTGCAATAACCAGGGGTTCATAGCTGTCCTTCCTGTGACTGTAGGCCAGAAGTGATCACAGGCTGATGGCCATTTATACCTAGATGTTGTCCTGTCTAGCACAACAGCCCGAAGACCAACTCACTATCTAAAGTACCTCTCCTGTGTCTGAGCATGGAACCATGTGCTGGCTAGTCTTCACTGCCCTGGAAAGTAGACCACAGGCAGACTTGAACAGGGTCATCATTACTTGGTAATCTTCATTTGAGGTAGAAAAGGCTCACTGTAGAGGCAGCAGAACCTTTCCATATGGGATAGGCGTGTCAAGCTGACCCTGGAGTTCAGGTGACCTGTTCTGAAGTCCCTGAAGACATTTGTACCCGAAGATACTGTCCCATATAGGAGCCAGGATCCCTGGCCACCCCTCACATCCTCTCAGCTGTTGTCCTGCTTTTCCCCCACAGACTCTACAGTGCACTTCCTCCACTGCTCAGGAACCCTGCCCTCCCAAACCTCCAAGGGCTCATGAACTAAAACTGCAGGTGAAGAATATCCGAGTTTCCCTGCTAAACCACCCTGGTGCTTCAGGTGAGTGCTGGTGCTGCCAGGGCCTCATGGGGTTGCCCACACTGTGGGAGGGACCTTCCTTGAGTGGGAATGGTAAATTCTCTTGTGGCAACCTGGTTGGGTCTACAGTATGATCCCTGCCTTCCTTGGCAGAAATATAGTGAAAAACTTGGTCTTCGGCTAATGGGCTTGGGGTCCAAAAGCCACAAGGTATATCCCCCTGAGCACAGTGAGCAACTGTGGCTGGTGGTGGCCAGTCATGCATACCTAGAAAGTTTGTGGAAAGAATTCTAAATGTTCCAGATTCAGAGAAAGGGCAGGTGTTTGAAACAGTAGCAATGCGAGTAACAATCGGATGGTTGTGCAGGACATATGTGCCAGGAAGCATCACACTGAACCCATGAGATGCAGATAAACCTATCTGCATGTACATGAAGGCCAGGGGAAAGCAGTGTCGTGGTTGCTCTGTTTTCAGCCTGACAGATACTAGTCTTTTTTTTTTTTCTTTTTAAAACTGAGCCAATAAATTCATGTCGAGCATCCCTGAGCCTCTGAACAGCTTACACTGTCTTAAAATGTATATGTGAGTGGAGGAAGGCAGCTGCGGAGTCATGGTCCTCCCAGGATTCCCAATGGTCACTGAGGCCCCCCACTGGCCCTCCCAGGATTCCCAGTGGTCACTGAGGCCCCCCACTGGTCCTCCCAGGATTCCCAGTGGTCACTGAGGCCCCCCACTAGTCCTCCCAGGATTCCCAATGGTCACTGAGGCCCCCCCATGAGAATGGAGTGATGGAGTGATTCTGGTTATTGTTTAAGAAAGCTAGGAATTCTGGTCACTATTTGCAGAGGTTCTTCCAGTTTACAAGGCATAAAGAGGCCTCATTTGAACTACGTCTCTACAAAGATGGCTATAGATGATGTTTTTGGTGCAAGTGCTTGCATATTGCCTTTCATACCTGGATCACCTATTAGCTGAGTGGATCCCCTGGACTTCCAGGCAGGGTTGGGGTCCCAGCTTGGGGTGCACATGCTATGAAACCAGGTCCAATTCCCTATCCACACTAAGATACCCATATCTGGAAATATATTTGAGTTTTTCCTTTGAGGGGGTGACTGAAAATTACCCTACCTGAAGCATGGTAAGGAGTTAAGCATTGTAGTCAAGGTACTGACCACAGAGGACTTCAGGACTGATGCTACAGAGGAAACATTGTCTCAGAGCAGGGACAGCTGTGACATGTCACAGTGCCTATACCAAGTACCCCCATAGGATCTTAGGTTAGATGAGGAATGAAAACACCTGCTTGTTGTAAGTGGGGTATGGGTTGCCTGTGAGGTGCACAGTTTAAGCTCAGTACCAACCATCCTTTGGGTAGGCTGTTAGTCTAGTCTAAAGAGGCGCTAAGCCTCAGTACATAGCATGTTGCTTCTGGGTGAGGCTCCATACCTGGGAGTCCTGCCTGCTTCCAGGATTGACGAATTGATGGAAGGAAGTGGGACACTGAGGTCAGTCCAGGGCTGCTACCACCAAGTTATTGCCCCAGCATTGACAGTGTGTAAATGGAAAATGACAGAAAGGTCTCTTGGGTGAGATTTTTTTCAGTTAATTTATTACTCTTTCTTGTGTGGGTAAGCAAAGGTTTCATGCAATTAAAAGGTAAAAGCTTCATCTGATCACAGGCATTAGCCATGTGTGTGTGGCCCAGCTGAACGATCCTGCACAGCGATTCATCAGCACCCTAGTGAGAAACACTACTGACCTCAGTTGGGAGGAGGAATTCACCTTGTGAGTACAGCCTGCATCCTCAGAGGCCTGGTGGTGACAGTTAGGTCTGCTCAGGATGGACAGATCCTGGAGTCATTGGATAGCACCGTTTACACTAAAATTTATTAAAGAAATGAAAACGAGTTGTCTTGAGTTTCTGAAAGACAGGTAGCCCCATGTCAAACATGGATTTCTTTTTAAAGGCAGCTCCAGGGATTACTCTTCTCCTCTGTCTCTATTGTGACAAAGGACTGTTAAGGGATTCCCTGCTTCCCTCAGCAGCCAGCCACACACAGCAGAAGGAAGCCTCCAACTGATGCCAACCTCTGGTGGAGAAAATAGAAAAGGGACATGAAAACCATTTATAAATAACATTATAGAGATCCTAAATAAAAAGTCATCACATGGTATCCAATGATGCATTAAAATACATCTATTTGAGAGCAATGGCTCTGGTCAAGAGCATTGGCTGTTCTTGCAGAACTAGATTTGAATCTCAGAACCCATATGGTGGCTTACAACTATTCCCAGGGATCCAATACCTTCTTCTGGCCTCTTCAGGAACCAAGCATGCATGTGGTATACATGCATGTAGGCAAAACATGGACATACATAAATTAAGTACATCTAAAATGTTCACATAGCCATTCTATTAAAGATAAATAATTCCAAACTGGGTATGGTAGTATATGCCTTTAATCCCAGTACTTGGGAGGCAGATGTAGAGGCAGGCAGATCTGAGTTTAAGGTTGGCCTGGTTTACATAATGAATTCCAGGAACAGTCAGAGCTATCTAGAGACTCTGTCTCAAAAACAAACAATAGATAAATAAATCCACTTGAGTTTGTACCAGAAATTTAAAGCTGGCTTAATATAAGAAAATTCATTAATAATTTCCACTGTGTCAGTAAATCATAAGGGAAAGTAAACTTCCTGTCTTCACATCTATCCCAAAGAGAGTTAGTAGTGTTTAATAGTGGTTCCCAGTTTTGAAACATTTAACTAGGAGAAATTCATGAACACTTTTGTAATTGGAGTTTAAAATCTCACCATGAATGATTGATCATCACAGCAGACCGCTGGCATCAGGATGGGATGATCTTGATCTAGACAAACTGATTGGTGCACTTAGAAAAGAAAAACAATGGGCAGATCCTGGAAAGGGAGCCAGCCACCAGTCCAGTGGGAAAAGATACTCACTGCCAAACTTGACAGAGATTCCCAGGATTTCAATTTTCAGGACCCACTTGGTGGAGAGAACCAACTCTAGCCAAGTTATCCTCTGACCACCAACTGTGTGAGGATGTTAATCTCCATTTGTTTACTGGAAAGAGCTCTATTATTAAAAGGGATTTGAATGAATAAATTTTTTTTTTTTTTTGGTTTTTCGAGACAGGGTTTCTCTGTGTAGTCCTGGCTGTCCTGGAACTCACTCTGTAGACCAGGCTGGCCTCGAACTCAGAAATCCGCCTGCCTCTGCCTCTAAAATTTTTTTATAAGGCCAAGGCAGCAGAGTACTAGACAGCTGTCAAACATGCAGTTGTTCTGCAGTCTGTGATATCTCCAGGGAATCATCTAAAGCTGTTAAAAGTGATGGTGGGTATAGCATGGAAGCAGGAATACTGCCTGGATCTTAGGAAAAGACAGGAAGGAGGGAGGCTTCTTGGAGTTCTGTGTTTTATACTCAATTATACATAGTTGTGCTTTTAAAATGGTGGCAGTGACATGTGACTTTTAATTTTAAGTAAATAACAATTAACCAAATGAAATCAAAGTCTCAGTCTGCACTGCCCACCTATCATATGCTACATGGCTGTTGTATTAGCTCTGTCTAATATACTTCTTATCACCAAAGGGTGTTCCATGGGTCCCCTCTGAAAGGCCAAACCCTGGGTGCATCAGTGCTATCTCTGAACTGTCAGAGTACAGGCTGTGTGTTTTAATGACTGACAACCTTGTGTTCCTTAGTATAAGAAAATACACACACAAACACACACACACACACACACACACACACACACACACACACACGGCAGGGGGTGTGGGGAAACAACTCTATAGCATCGAGCTTTCGATGGTTGACATGTGTTTGTTCTTTTGGCAGTGAACTGAATGCCAAATCCAAGGAGCTGCTCCTGCAGATCTCACAGGATGAGTGCTCCTCAGAAGGTGAGTGGTGAACGTGTAGGAGTGCTCTAGATAAGCACTCTGACCTAGGCTCTGGAATGGGGAGAGGAGAAACCCTGCAAACGAGGCAGTCTTCTCCTCTGAACCACTGGTCTCCCAATGGAATGTTTGGTACAAAGTTAAGCCTCAACAATGTCATTCATTTGGGGGGACATGCTTGTCTGGCTTTTAAACTTTTTCCTTTAGTTTTTTTGTGTGAGTGTGTTGCCTGCCAAATATGTCTGTGCACTGAGTGCATGTAGTGCCTACAGGGGCCACACGAGGGTGCCAAATTTTTCAGGACCAGGTGGTTGTGGGCTGCCATGTCAGGATGGGAACTGAACCCAGTCTTCTAGAAGAATAGCCAGCAGTCTTAGCACTTAATCATTTCTCCAGTCTCTACTTTTAAAACCCAGAGTCTTTTCTCAATAATTTTTAAATTAGAGGAGCAATTTCAAACCATTCTAGACTTAATGGACTTCCTTCAATTTTTTTTTAAATTAAAAAAAAAAAGTAACAAGCTGGGTAGTGGTGGTTTACTCCTTTAATCTCAGCACTTGGGAAGCAAAAGCAGGTGGATATCTGTGACTTTGAGGCCAGCCTGGTCTACAGAGAGGGTTCAGGACAGCCAGGGCTACACAGAAAAACCCTGTCTCAAACAACACACTTTTCCATCATAGCCATTGTTAGCCTTAGCAGCTAACAATGTCCTAATGTCCCTCTCTATAAGTTTCAGCTGATGTTTCCGTACAGAATAAGGCCCTTGGCTGAATTTAAAATAAACACACGAGGGCTGGAGAGATGGCTCAGCTGTTAAGAACAGTGACTGCTCTTTCAGCAACCACATGGTGGCTCTCAACCATCTGTAATAGGATCTGATGCCCTCTTCTGGTGTGTCTGAAGACAGCTACATTGTACTCATTTAAATAAAATAAATAATCTTTTTAAAAAATAGACACATGATTCAGAGAGAGGAAATCAACAGTCTAGGGTAAAGTCACCAACATAACCATGGACTTGAGTGTACACCTGGGTTTACAGTATTGATGTTTGTTAGATTCTTTGGTTTTTGCATTTAGTGATGTGTCTGTGGAGGTCAGAGGACAGCCTTTTAGAGTTGATTCTCTCTTTCCATCTTGGGGGTCCTAGAAATCAAGTGTAGTTTGTCAGGCTTGGTAAAGTGCCTTTACCTGATGAACTATCTTGCTGGTCCTTGTTTTTTCTTTCATTTTGTGGTGCTGTGCTTTAAGCATGTTAGATAAGTGTTGTACCACTAAGTTACACTCTCAGCCCTCTTGGATGTTAAAATCCATATAAACATTAAAATTGGGAAGGAAAAGACCATTGGCCTACCCAGCTGTGCCATTGCGTCTCTTGGTGATTCCCCTGAAGGGAAGTTGGAAGGCACCTGACCAGATGATCATGTCCTAGTTACCATTAAGGGTTCTGTTCTAGCCTTTTGGAATCTGCTGTCTTTAGATGCCCAGGGAGGTGATAAGAAAACCCTTCCCTTCCTTGAGTGGTTATATAGGACACCCTGCATCAGGCTACCTTTGACTTCCATTCCTCCCAGTCCCTGCTCCTGGTGGCCCACCCTCCTCCATTGCAGGGCAGCCTGGTGGAGTCTGTGAAACTGCAGTTTTACAGAAGTCATGCAGAGTATGCCCATGCAGCCTGTGCTTAAATTCTCATTCTGATTATTTGCCCTATTGCTCATAACCTTTGTTTGGTTAGTCATTACAGTCCTATCTGTCTCCCTCTTCCTCCTTTCTTACCTTATCTCTCCCTCTTACTTTTGCTTTTCAAATCAGGGCACACATATAGTAGGTCACTGTCATCATTCCTTGACCCCTCTGTCCTCCCATGAATTATTTTGCCCAGGACATTTAATAGCTTCTTTATTTCCTTTTATGCCACACGACCACCACCACCCTGTTTATTTTCCAGTTTCTGTCAGTGGTTCAAGGGTGGTTGGTGCAGTTCTATATCCTGTGTGGTTTGGATATTGCCTTTGCCAGGTCTGGCACCTAGCCTCATTCCTTCTGGGATGCCCACAGCCTCTTTATGCTTGGTGATACTAACACTGTGTAGTGAACCTAACAGAACATTCCTCAGGTATGTGACTGTGGGAACATCACCATTGCCCCTTCTTGTCTTCCACTCTAGGTCTGTTGGGGATAGCAACCATTCACCTGGACTTATTTAGGAAGCAGCCTAATGGCCCACAGACCTTCAGACTGATCAGTGGGACGGATCCTGACAGCTTGGTTTTGGGTTCAGTCACTGCAGAGGTATGATGATGGCATGTTCTCTGCTACTACCGTCCTGTCTCCTGCCTGCCAGGGTTCACTGTTGCCTCCATATAACATGCTGACCTTACTCAGGCTGCTCTGTTCTCAGCATGGGTTTCAGGCTCAGGTAGACATCTTGCCAGGACTGGCTTAAGCTGGCTATTGTAGGAGATGACATTTCCCAGTGTCATCTCAGTTAACCCAGCAAGTCCTCCTTTTAAAAAATCCTTTGCTGGGTCATGCTTCGAGTTTAATGCAGTTGAGCCTGGCTTCTTGGGTTTTTGTCAGTCCAGGTTGATTAAAAAAAAATTAAGTAACATGGATGAAGAAATTAGAGGTTATTGGGGAGAGAAAAAAGCCAGTGTACTGCAGCTAAGTCAGCCTGTTGTTACTATCTGCAGAGTAATGTATCTGCAGGTCTACAGCTGTAGTTTGCATCAACTAGCCTGAAAATATTCAGGAAAAAACAAATAAAAAACACCCAAACTACATCAGACTGAACAGGTATATACCTTTTTTTCTTACTGTTATTCCTTGAGCAGTACGGAAATATAGCTATTCCCATGCATTTTTGTCATATTTGGTTTGAGAGATCATCTAGAGGTCATTACTATACTAGGAAAGGACATGGGTATTCTGTGCTCTCTTGACACCATGTTCTCTGTGTGGGTGGTGGCCTAGTGAGTGTGGGAAGCAGCTGTCCATCGAAGCTCCTCTGTGTTTCAAAATAAATGTCTGTCTTTGCCATAGTTTTCTTACGTAGAACCTGGTGAGCTGAAGTCCTGGCCAGCTCCTCCCCCTGTTTCTGCTGCAAAGATAGAAAAGGACCGGACAGTGATGCCATGTGGGACTGTGGTCACCACTGTCACTGCTGTGAAGACCAAACCTCGCTTTGACACTGGGAGGGCATCCCCACTGACCTCGGGTGAGACTAGAGTGCAGTGTCATTGCAGGAGATCCACAGGCTATCAGCCTCTGTGGGGTAGGGCTCACTCTGCAACAGTGAGCATGGTGGGCTTCAACACCAAGGCTTAGCAAAGAAGTTTGGTGGCCTGGAAAGAAAGAGGGATGGAGGGTAGAGGAGGGGAGGGAGGGAGGGAAGGAAGGAAGGAGGGGAGAAGGGAGGGAGAGAGGAAGAAGTGAGGGGAGAGGATGGGGGAGGAAAGAAGGGAAAGATGAGGGCTGGAGATGGGGGTGAGGGGGAGAGGGAGAGAGAAAGAGTTGAGGGACAGAGATGAGATTCTTTTTGGCAGTTACACCAAAGTTACAATCTGGATCTAAGACTCCAGCCACGTGGAACTCAGTACTCCCTCACACTCATGGTTATTAAAAGTCTAATACAGGTTAAACACCACAGATAAAGAGGCATGATACGGGGCTGAGGATGTGGCTCGCAGTTGGGCAGTATTCATCTAGCACAGATGAAGCCCTGGATTGGATCCCAGAACTGTATCAAGTAGACATAGTGGCACACATTTGTGATCCCAGAACTGAGGAAGTGGAGGCAAGAAGATCAGGAGTTCAAAGTCATTCTTGCTTAACATGAAATATTATCCAATCTGGGATATATGATGTCGTGCCTCAAAAAAAGAAAAGAGTTTTGGTCTTTTGTGTTTTGTTTTTTAAATGGGGCCAGCAGAAACCTTTCTTTTGCATTGTAGCTGGCTGGGTGGGGAAATGGAAAATACATTTTTATTTTACTGGTATATTATATAAAGGAACCATCTTCCCAAGTAGCTCCCATGGCACAGGTCAGAGACCCACAATTCACATGAGAACTCCAGTTTTATTAAAATGTCCCTGAATTTTCACCCCATTCTAGACCCCAGCACCACTTTTGCCAATATAGTGAAAGAATAGACAATGTAAATCTTAAAGTCCAGTTCCAGCCAGTAATAACTGTGGGGCCTTAAGGTGCAGTAGGGATTCTAGCCTTCTAGAATCTTCTGTTGAAAATTTGCATGCCCTTGCTGAAGGAGTCTTGTTCTTGCAGAGTCCCCTGTGAGGACACCCGTCAAAGTGAAGGTCATTGAAAAGGACATCTCTGTCCAGGCCATTTCATGCCACAGCGCCCCTGTCAGCAAGACATTCTCCTCTTCAGACACGGGTAAGATATCTCTGCACTTCTGAGCTTTAGGAGTAAAGGTTTCCTCCTCCCCTCTCCGTTTGGGGAGTCTTTGGTTTGGTGGCAAATAGAAAATGAGAAAGCTGGAAATGTCAGGTAAGGGGACTGAGGACAGAGCTGGGCCTAGGAGACTTGAGGAACACTTTAACAAAATGAGCAGGTGGTCAGGGCCCCACTTTGTAACTTTATGAAAGCTATCTTATCATTTGGCATGTGGATGATGTCAGTGCCATTGGACAAGCCACACTGGGGACAGCGTGGCCTGGATGCTGTGCTTTGTCCACACTGTCCATTCAAGTATTTAAGAGTAGTTTTCTGAGTTCTCTGGGTACTTCTTTTAGTTATTTTTACATGGCTACAATCAGACAGTTGACAGAAACAGCTTCGTGGTGGAAGAGCTTATTTTGGCCTCAATTTCAGTCCATCATGGGGTGGGGAGGCATGACAGTGTAAACACATACGGAGTCAGTATCACATTAGACAAGGAAGTAAAGAGATTCTAAACCCAGGCCTATCCCTAGTGTCAGATGTCTGCCAGCTAGGCTCCACCTTCTAAAGGTTCCACAGCCTCCCAAAATAGCGCCACTGTCTGGAGAACATGTGTTCAGAACATGAGCCTGTAGGAGACATTTGATATCTATGCTATAGTATTGCACCCTGGCCCCAAAGGTTCAGTCATCTTATAATGCAAAATGCAATTTGTTTAATTTTAAGAGTCCCCATAAGTTTAATAGTTCTAACACTGTTCGAGGATCTAGGTTTAGAGTTTTGTTTTTGAGACCCAGGGATGTCACTTAGCTGTGAGCCCCTGTAAAATCAAAAGGAAAGTTAGATATTTCCAGACTGGAAGGATACAGAGTAATTTTGCCCATTCAGAAGGGAGAAATGGGAGGATGGAAGAAAATTTTAGACCAGAAGGAGACTAAATCCTAGCAGGTTCACTGCTATAGTTCGCGGAGCTACACTGAATGCTGTAGTTCTCTGTCAGGCATTTAATGCACGTGGTGGAGTGATCCAAGCCCTAATAGACACAGAGAGTTCCACGCCTTGAGCTTTGCCATTTGCAGCCTCATTTGGGACATGTCCCATAGTCCTGGCATTGCCAACATCCTGGGATCTCTACTGCAGCTTAGGCTTCATCCTCAGAGATTCTGCCCAATCAGATGCTCTCTGCAGGAAACCTGGAATGAATAGTACTTGGACTCATAGGCTTTCCTTAATCTAGGTGCATCCTGTATCTCTTGTTTATTGCATGCTTGAAAAGCTAGCAGCGTGTAGGCAACCCTAAGTTTCACTGATCACTTGATATGTAGCTAGGCCTCCTTGTATCATGACGACAATGGCTTTTGAGTGCCTAGATGAGTGAACCTGTGACACATTTCTCTATGCAGCCCCATTCAAGTATCTTTCAAATGAATATGTAGCTTATATGTTGGAGGTATGAGGAGTCTCATCAATTCCTGAAATGTCCTGAGAGCATCCTTCCTACATCCTAGTGCAAACTATTTGACTTCCTCCTAATGATGCTTGAGTAGCTATGGCCACCTTCTACTTGCTTTGGCACTTTGAGATATTCTTTCCAAGCCAAATACTTCATTTTTCATGTCTTTATGCTCTGATTTCTATTCTCAGACCCCACTGTAAGCCTGGCTAAAGCAGCCAGTAGTAACCATGCCATAGCTGAATGCTACACCATGAATTCCTTTGAATTCAGCCACTTTATAATTCCCAGAACAAACATTGATAAAATATAGGCAAATTCTGTGCCAAGATGTAACACAAATGGTCTCTAATCCTGTTCCCAGTGGAGTCCTTGTTCCCATTCCAAACTCATGGTTTCTCTCAGCAATCAGGTTTTCCATACACCCACAGGAATAAGTCTACGGTCTACTTACAGCATTCTAGAACTTTTCTTCCTTTTAAAAAACATTTTTATGTTTTGATACAGTGTATCTTGATCGTATCCACCCACAACTCCCCAGTCCCTGTCTTCTCAGACCTCCCCTAACACAAACCCTGGCACCTCATGTCTTATTCTGTCTTTTATAAACTGAGCCCCTGCATGTATGTGGGGCCAGCCACCAGAGCACGGGTGAGCTACCAGTGACTACATTCCTTGGAGAAAAATGACTGCCAGTCCCTAACAACTATCAACTCCCAGTAGCCCTTCAGCTAGGAACAGGGCCTGTGAACCCACTCGTGCATGTGGAATGTTGACTGCCTTGATCCTGTGCAAGTAATCACTGCTGCTGTGCTTCATGAGTACCGAGGCCATTTCATATCCAGAGGACAGCAGTTTACAGCACTCTTTCCTAGCCTCTAGCTTTTTCTTCCCCTTCTTCCAGAGTGTTCCCTGAGCCCTGGGGAGGTCATTTATTCTCAGACATTTTCCTTTATGAGTCTCTGCATTGACCACTGCCAAAAGGGGGCTTCTCTGAAAAAAGTTGAGGTCAACACTAATCTGAATGAAAACAAACATTTCTGTCCATTTAGCAAAGAAACACTAGACAGCTCCTCCCAGCCCTGGGCTTTTGACCAGGCTTATAGGATCAGGAGTAAATTCCTTCCCCTGCAGCCAACTTCAAAGCCAGAAGGTTACCCTGTAGTAGTTAGTCATGCCACTGTTGCATTAGTCAATGCGTCTTGCCTGTCGGGTCAGTACAGAAGAATGCAGAGTTTCTGCTGTGTAAGCCCACTGATTCTTTTTCTCCCCCAGCTGCCTGCATAGCACCTTCTAGCAGGGAGGAGGTTTTCAGGTCAGTTCCAGCTTTCTCTGTGTTCTAACTAAAAGTGTGTCGTGTCTTCAGCAGTAGGTCTTACCGTCTAGTTATGGAGAGCAGCGAGAGCAATGGCAATGGCCTGTGTCACTTGTGAGCCTCTAGGGTTTCCTCAGGGGGTTTTCTAGTTCACGTCTCCAAATTCTTCCACATTCTTCCCACAAGTCCATTCCAGAGGCCCAAACCACACAGGTTTCACAGAAGCAACAACTCACTTTTGTACCAATTTTCTGGATTAATTATTTTGTATATTCTGTATCACTATGACAAAGGGACCTGATGTATAAAGGAAGAAAGGATTGTTTTAACTCACTGTTTTAAGAGTAAATGCAGAGTAGCCAGAGTGTGTGACAGAGCCTGCTCATATCATGGCTAACCAGGAAGCAGAGAGGAAATTCTGGAACCAGGGCCTGGGCTAACCTTCAAGGGCATCAAGGTTCCATCCCCAAAGATATTATAGCCTCCAGAGTATCCCCACCATCTCGGAAGGCCCTCTAAACACTAGCCTCTGGGGACATTTCACATTCAAGCTGTGACAATACCAATTCTATAATTTTAGGATTATTTTCAGGTAAACAACATCTTGACTAGGTATCTTCCTATCTATAAGTCAGTGTGAGGACCTGAGCTGGATCTCCAGCATCCACCTGAAAAGTACGGAGTGGCTGAGCAAGCCTATAAGCCCAGCTCTGGGACCAAGTGTGTGACTGTAGAAACCAGCCCCTGTGACCTGTGGCCATGGCTGATGTCCTGCTCCTAAGTCAGTTTTATTGTTCTGCTTCCTTCATTTGCTTCTGCAGTCCTGGGAATCAAAGCCAGAGCCTTGTGTATGCTATGCAAGTGCTGCATCATTGAGCTACACCCAGGTCCCTTTTTGTCATGTTTAATTTTGCCTTAGCAGAATAGTATAAGCTATAAGTACAAGCTCACTGGGGGAGAGAACCCTCTCCACTTAACCACCTACCTGATGGGCTGGCATCTTGTCAAGTGGAGATTTTAAAAAAAGAAGACAAAAAAATAAAAGAAGAACTCACCTGAGGGAGCTAAGGAATGAGCAAATGACAAAACATGCAGGCTCTGTCAACAGTACCTGGTACATTCATGACACAGAGCCAGCTCTTAATAGCTTTTATTGGCTGCCTTGGATTACTGTTCTGTGTCAGCCACTTTGGGAGGTAGAAGGAGTTATATGCCTTTGTGAGGTCAAAATTTTCCCAATGTTTAAAACTTTCTCCTCTCTCCTCTCCCTCTCCCTCTCCCTCTCCCTTTCCCTCTCCCTCTCCCTCTCCCTCTCCCTCTCCCTCTCCCTCTTCCCCTTCCCTCCCCTCCCCTCCCTTCCCCTCTCTCTTTGTGTGTGTGTATGAGAAAGAGGGAGGGAGAGGGAGAGAGGGAAGAGAGGGAAGGAGGGAGAGGGAGGGAGGGAGGAAGGGAGGGAAAGAGAGAGAGAGAGAGAGAGAGAGAGAGAGAGAGAGAATATGAATGTGGAGGTCAGAGGACAACCCATAGAAATCTGTTTTCTCCTTCCCATACTGTATCCCAGGGATCAAACTCAGGTTAGATCATTAGATATGGTGCCTTTACTTACTGTACCATCTCCTCTGCCCACAATCTATTTATTTTTGTGTGCCGACCTTTGCCATTGTACACAGCCCTCTTGAGAAAAAGTATTACCTTATAAACAGTAAAACATATGAGTCTCAAACAGACACATTAGTGAGTAGCTCATAACTACTGGGAGTCAAGTTGTAGATAACCATGGCCTTCCCTTGTTTCTCAAAACAAAGTTTTACCAGATCCAGGCCTTGCCTGTTTATTTACATGTAGCTCCTCGCTGCTCCTACTTTATGGGGAGATTAGTTGAAAAATCCTCAAGCCCTTACTTTCTCCCTCCTTCCAAATGCTTGCCATCCACTGCTTACAGACTGTTCCTGCCCACTGCTCTGGGAGTTCACTTGGAGCTTGTTAAGTTTGCTACTGAACTCAGTGCTACCTTCCTTTTGGCAGAACTGTTGGTGCTGAACGGCTCAGATCCTGTGGCTGAAGTTGCCATTCGGCAGCTCAGTGAGTCCTCAAAGCTGAAACTGAAGTCTCCACGGAAGAAAAGCACCATCATAATTTCAGGGATCTCCAAGGTAGGTTAGGGCAGCAACAGGAAGTGGGAGTCTGTCAGCATAGTACCCCGGTTCCTCATTCATCCAGAAGATCCCCTCTGCAGAATCCAGTACAGCTCCTTCCCACCAGAGAGTTAGCTACCTCTGGGACCACAGTAGTCCTTTGTCCTGTTGATACAGGAAGGTAGCAGCTGTCTGCTTAGTGATGCTCTGAGGCTTGAGAGCTTAGCCAGTCATTTCTAGAATAATTACTATGATAGAAATAAAGGCACATGTAAGACACTCCCTGAGGTGAAATCTCCACCTAGCTGCCCTTTTCTGAGATGACTCATTTCTAAAACATTTAAATATTTTGCAAAAAAATATGTGTATTCCTTCTGTTATCTGATAGAAATAAAGATTATTCTACAAAATGTTCCAGTTCAGTTCCTCTGTTCTTCCACTCTGTGGTGTCTTAATGGAGCAGAGGGTGGGCATGAATTGCCTCTGTTGGCAGCCATGAACAGGTTAGATCTTCAGTTCAAGGGACCATGTAAGAAATCCTGGTTCTTCCTAGACATTTTCAAATATGCAGATAGAGATAGAGATAGAGATAGAGATAGAGATAGAGATAGAGATAGAGATAGAGATAGAGATAGAGATAGAGATAGAGATAGAGACAGAGATAGAGATAGATAGAGAGAGAGAGAGAGACAGAGAGACAGAGAAAGAGAGAGAGAGTGTTAGAGATAGAGATAGAGAGATAGAGATAGAGAGAGAGAGAGAGACAGAGAGAGAGAGACAGAGAGAGAGAGGGAGAGAGAAAGAGAGAGAGATAGAGAGAGAGAGATAGAGAGAGAGAGATAGAGATAGATAGAGATAGAGATAGAGAGAGATAGAGATAGAGAGAGATAGAGAGACAGAGAGAGAGAGAAAGAGAGAGAGAGAGAGAGAGAGAGAGAGAGAGAGAGAGAGCGAGAGCTGTAGTGAGTGACAGATTAGGTAGCTGTGGCCTTGATTAAGGAGGATAGATTGGATCGTATAAGGTCATCAAGAGGGTGGCAAGGAAAGCAAATCGGAAATCCCTCTCACAGTTGCTGACAGGGCCAATGGTCAGTCACCATAGCTGGTAGTGTCTACAGTACGTGAGTAGCCTGGGCTCAGGACTCCAAGAGAAGCACCTTGAACACCAAGGCAGGGGATGTCTCTTCTTAGTCTGGCTTCTTCAGCCACTGGGGTGTGAGAGGCAGATATCTGATGTCAACAAGGCCAAATAGTGGAAGCTTTTACTCAGTCTGAGTTAGATAAATGAACAAGATGAAGATAACCATGACTGTCTGCTCTCTCCATTCTGGCTTTGCTTCAGAATTGCTAGCTAATCTTCACATTTAATATCTGTAGGCCACTCTGATTATGAATTTATTGGCATACAGACTGTTGTATTCATAGTTATCAGGTACTTCTGTAAGCTGGTTCATCTTCAACTGCCACTTAGCAAATGCCAAACCCTCCCTCCCTACCAGAACTCTTGTTATATCCCTGGAATGGCTTTTCATTTGCCCTCAGCCTCTGTTGTACATCTCCCCTGACAGACCTCACTATCTCAGGACCACAATGCTGCCCTCATGCTGGACTACGCAGCTTCAATGGACAGCACCAACCAGGGAGATGCCACTTCTGCTTTGTGCCATCCAGAGGCACCTGAAGCCTCTGCCACTGACCCACCTAAAGAAAATGAGCCAGCCCAGACCCTACCTGCCCTCAGGCCTAGAGAGAATGATCTAGATTCCTGGGACCTGGAGAAGGAGTCTCCAGTAGCATCATGGAGCGGTCCAGCCCTGCAGGAGCCTGATATGGATGAACTGTCAGAGAGCTCCCTGAGTACTTCAGAGCTAGGCGCTATGAAGAAGCATAAAGGTAACTATTTCCAAGCCTCCAGCTTCTCACTTGGGCTTCCCTCTCCGTGTCCTCGCTCCTATGCTGGCCTCCCTTCCTTTTGTCCTCTATGAGGCTGTCCCAGTCTCATCCCCTCCATCCCAGTCTGCTCAGCCACTGAGAGCTGAAAAGAAGGTGGGAAGCTTGCATGTGAGCAGCTGGGGCTTCATCTCTGCATCTGGGGAGCCACTGTGTTTTCATGACTCTAAGCACCCTCCCTGTCTACCTCACTCCATCTGGAAGCAGAGCTATCCAAGGCTTCAGAGTGTTATGAGGAGCCAGATGCCATAGTGGCCAGGGCCAGAACAGAGTAAGCAGAATCAGATTGGCAGCTTACCTTATTTGCTTAGTCTCCTCCTCCAGCTGGAACCAAACCAGACCTCACCACATGGAATCAGCAGGATCTATAAGGAAAGAGACTCCTAGAATAACTACTCACTGACATGATGTACATGTAGTTATGAAGGCATTCATTAGCACAGTCAGTCCTTTCTCATGAGCAATGGGCCCTTATTTCAGAGTTCTGCATTTCTTAAGGGTATACACTTGGTCCCAGACCTTTATCTCATAGTCACCATTGGCAGCAGCTCCAGGACTTAGAGACTTCACACTCACTGAGCCTTACCTCCAAGACTTGGGGACCATACCTACTATCCACATCCTTCCAAGATGAGAGCTGAAAGAGGCCCCTGCATCAGTCCAGGAGCTGTGGTGGAACTCAGTATCCACTTCTAGTTCTGCCTTCTATCTGGGCCTCCAAGGCCCATTTTTCTCAATCAAGTTCTTAGGACCCTCTTGGAATGCACTGGGCAAGAACCTTAGCTATGCTAGGGGTTAGGAATCCTAGCTACCTACTTCTGGGGATTTCTGCTGGATAATTTTGCCTTAAGGAGGACATGAATAATGTCTGCAGACAAGCTGTGGTTTTACAACTAGGAGATGAGGTACTACTGGTCCCAAATAGGTAGAGGCCACAGGTAGCATATTCCTTAGGGCACAAAGCATAGACACCACCACACAGCAGAGCACAAGTACCAGATGCTGAGGCTGAGAACCTACCCTCAGTGTTCCACCTCTTCTCTGCTCATCCCTTAGCCATTGATGGCTAGCTGTTCGCCTGTGACTTGTGCCAGTACCGTGGGGAAAGATAGAGGATGAATTTGTACATCAAACGAGGAAAGAAAGAGATTGTTCCTGGGGGAAGATTTTTAGATCATCCAGGCTATTTCCTATAGTCTGTCCTTGGGGGAACTTCAGCTAAACCCTGTGTCCTCTCTTGGTGTGAGCTGTGGCCCAGGGTGTCAGGTAGACTGTCTACTGGCCACCCTATGTACACACTGTAGCCAGGTCTTTGTTCTAGAGTCAAAGGAGCCTCTGAGAGGTTGCTGGGAAAGTCGTTAGCAGGGAGGAACAGGGGACACTGGGGAATATCCTGTGCCTCACTTCACTTCCAGTCAGTGGTCTATATCCTCATGTCCCTTAAGAATCCAAACCTCTTGTGCTCTCCAGGTTTCTCAGAGTTGCCAAGCCTGCCACCACAGTGCATCCATCCAGCACCGCTTTGATTTCTTCTAGCCTTTCCTGCTCCCACTAGCTCTGGTCTCCTTTGGGGTCCCCTCCTTGAAGTGCATCTGCTATCCTTCTCTCCTGGAGAGAGGCCAGACAGATGAATGCCTCTTGGGAATTGGGGGTCTGTCTCATCCTCTAGGGGCTGGAAGTAGCCTCTGTGCTTGTGAGCCTCCCCAGAGATGCTGGATATCGGGGGAGGTGCAAACATGTTTGGCTGGTATGTGTGTTTCACTCCTGGCTACTCTGGAAGCAGAGGTTGAACCTGCCCTTGGGTCCTTGGCATGCCTTGACTTAAAGTTTTCTGAAAGGTAGTATTTGGCAATGTCTTAAAAAGTATTTTGTAGGGCTTAGGCATGGTAGCGCATGCCTTTAATCCCACCACTTGGGAGGCAGAAGCAGAAGGAGCTGACTTCAGGGCTAGCCTGGTCTACATAATGAGTTCTAGGCCAGCCAGAACTACATGGTGAGACCTTGTTTAGAATATATATATATTCCCTAGCCCATATATATGCATATATGTATATATATACATATATACATATATGCATAAATATATATTTATGTATAAACAAATGTTTATTTTTACATATCTCATAAATTTATTATATAATATATAAACATAACTTATTTTATATTCATATATACATATGTATGTATATATAATATATATATGTAAAACTAAATCCCACCAAGCCACTTCCTGTAGCACTAGTTTTGAAAAAAAACTGGCAGAAAATGAAAATAGTTTGACAAGCTAGCTTAGACCTATTTAAGATTCTGCCAACCAACCTCTCAAGCTAAGTACAAGGCTTCTAGAAACTGCAAGATGAAACTAGCTAGTTGGTGAGATGCAGATTTAATGAAACATTCTGTCAAAAACTATGGTGGAGAATAATGGAGAAGGAGACCACACATTGACATCTGACCTCCATGCAGATATACAGGTGAGTACACTTGCACATACACCCCCCACACACACATACACACATACACATTTAGTTTACATCCTACAGTTTCTAGAAGCTTTGTACTTAGCTTGAGACGCTGGTAGAATCTTAAATAGGTCTAAGTTAGTTTGTCAAACCATTTTAATTTTATGCCAGTTTTTTTCAAAACTGGTGCTTCAGAGAATGGCTTGGTGGGATTTAGTTTTACTTATTTTGTATTTATTTTATATGTATGGGTGTTTTGTCTGCATGAATATTTAGGTACTACTTACATGCTTGCAGAGGTGAGAAAAGAGTCTTCCATTCCCTGTAATTGGAGTTATAGATAATTGTAGGCTGCCCTGTGGGTGCTGGGAAAAGAACCCAGGTCCTCTGGAAGAGATCAGAGGTTAAGCCGGTATTCTTAATCTCTTTGCCATCTCTCCAGCCTCCAGGGTTTAGTTTTAAACTAAGGTATACATATGTGACTTGCAAACCGTCTTCACCTTCTGGTATAGTGAGATGAATGTTGGAGGCTTTAAGAAAGCCCATGTAACTAGAATTCTCCTGGACTGTTGCTAGCTGGGAATTTATATATTATTATACTTCAGCCAAAACAGAAAATTGATTCCCCAAAATTCAGATTTATTTTAAATTCAAAAAGCAATGGTAGCTCTGGGGAAAATTTTAACCTTATCTGTGTTCATCACAAATGTCCTAAGAGAAATTTGAGAAAAAACTGGAAAGAAACATTGCCAAATATCTTGCATGGCAACCTTGCATGTTTGCACGTGTATGCATGTGCATAAATATATGCTCATGTATGTATGAGTATATGTGCACATCTGTGTGTACTTAAAAGTACATTTGTGTATATGAGAGCATAGATGCACATGTGCTCTCAAATGCATATGCATGTACATGTATGTACAAAGTGTGAGCACGAATGTGCATGAGTCCATGCTCACATCTGTGTGGTGTATGTATATAAGTGTGAGCATGTATGTGTATGAGCCTCTGCTTACATGTACATGTGTGTATGTTTACACATGTGAGCATATATGTGCATGAGTCTGTGCTTATATGCATGTGTACAAGTGTGAGCATGTGTGTATGAGTCTGCAGTCGTGTGTACATGTAAATGCACATATGTGCAAGTGTGTGAGTATGTGTGTACACAGTATATGATACAGTGACTCCAGACTCTGACTTTCACTCTGACTCTGCTCTTGCCTGCTTTTCTTTTCTCTCAACGTCTCTGCATTTCGTGTTCGTTCCCTTTAACTTAAGAGGATCACTATGGCAACCAGAATTAATTACCTACACAGTAAGTTATTTTTTTTTGTCTTGCATTTTTTTAAGTTCTGTGTAATTGACTATGTGGAGCATGTCTAGCAGAGTTAAGGCTGTCCCTGCCTTTTTCCTCGCTTAGTGTCTTGACCTTCCCTTTGTTGGTTTTCTGTGTTTCTGGCTTCTAGGTAGATTGTCACCTTCATCAACCATCAGATGGGACACTCTGTCCTCTGATGGTACAAAGCCACCTTGCTGTGATGGCATAAGCAAAGTATCATCTGGGAAGCCGGACTGGGATAAGGGGGCCAGCATGGATCCCCTCGCTAGTTTCCTGTCCCTCCTATGAATGGTCTGTCTGAAGTTTCATTTGAAATGAGAGGCTGTTTTGGGGCATCAGAGCATACGTTTTCAGGTTGCTAGGACCATTGTCTTCCTACTTGCAGATTTTAATACAGATTCTTCCATGGCCATTTATATCTGTCCCTTTACAGAAATAAACAGGATAAATTTAGAAATGTGACAGCAGAGTTAGAATTTAGAGTAATTCTCCAATTCCTCCTATTTATGGTCCAGTCTTCTTGGGGTGTTTTTAAAGAACTAAAACCAAGGAGAGAGTCTCCCCCACTGCCTGTTCCCATTTTAAAACAGTATGTCATTTGCCTCAGATTTCATGTAGCTTCAAATGAAAATCTGAAAACATGGCATGTGAAAATCAAACCAGGACAGTCAGTGCTGGTGTCTCCTTAAACAACGACTTATATACTAATCATACCCCATGAAAGCCAGTGACATATTTTGGCATATGGACACTCACGTAAAGATGAGTCAGGAGAGCTTCCTTCTCTATAAGACTATGCATGGAGCCCCTGCTGCTCCTGTGTGCTCATAGGACTTACTGTGGATTGTGGTTATCTGCTATGCTAGAGAGCTGCAAATCTTATCCCTGTGAGTGACCTCCCTCTCTAACCCTCAGCCTCTAGAAGATTCTACCCACTGTCTTCTGAGCCAAGTTCCCTCACCACAGTGTGGCTGTGCCTGCCTCTTGATTCCCGTGTATATTTATTGCTATGGTTCTTCCAGAATTATATGCCCAGTGGTAAATGTGATGTTGAGGTTTAAACAAACTGTAAATGTGTTAGTTTGTGACTAGGGATACTGTTCTGTGGTTCTGTGGTAGACGGTTTACTTGGTACCCATAAGAATGAGTTTGATACCCAGCACCACAAGACAGATTCCCCCCCCCCTCTCTCTCTGTCTCTCTCTGTCTCTCTCTGTCTCTCTCTCTCTCTCTCTCTCTCTCTCTCTCTCTCTCTCTCTCTCACACACACACACACACACACACACACACACACACACACACAGAGGCCTGGGATCATTTATTTGAGTCACTCCTCACAGGTGCAGCTTAGCTGCCAATTTCAAGGTGAATTTTCCTCATTGGAATGTCCCATCCTCCCTACATCTTGGTATCCTGGTATCCCTCTCTGGAGATAGAATTCTTCTAGAATCTTACCAAAGACCATGCCCATGCCTTGTTCTATCCTCCTGTCTGCATGTTCCTCCCTGAGACCATGGGACACCCTTTGTTCCAGGTACCTAGTGGCTCCTTCTCAAGGGTAGTATCATTGACATTCAAGGTCAGACTTTCCTTAGCAGCACCAAAGGAGCTAGACATAGGAACACTGGCTTCAGGGGCCAATCACCCTGGGCTCACACATATGTCATTGTGTGACCTGAGTAGTCACTTCTCCAACTCTGATGTCCTCAATTTTCAGCAAGCCCCACCCCAACTTGGTGGGAACCCTGAGTATAAGCCTAATGAAATAGGTCTCAGCACCCACGACAAAGGCATGCCCTTCAATCTTGAAACTCATGTCATCTCACAGAAGCCATAATTTCTAAGAAGGCCCATCAAATCAGTACAGGGAGATCGCCATGTAGGTTCATAGGATAACATTTCTCACTAATTCTGGGAAGTGTAGCTTAACAAACCAGCAGAGAGGCTGACAAGATCATGAGAGAGGCTGGAAGAACAGACAACAACCTGCTCAAGGCTACAGCATGGTGTGGGGCCTAAGAACAGGTGCAGGCCTGCTGAACGGAGGGTGCTGATAAAATGGCAGTTTATACCTTGGACAGCTATACACACAGCAAACACACACCTGAAGCCTCCCCTTTTTTCTCTTCTAAATCTTTCTGCAGTTGATCTTAGCCAAACAGCCAAGAAACAATAAAATCTAAACCTCTCAAGTCTATCAGTCTTACACCCAAGTTGAAAGTCTTTGATACTTTAGGGCAGGAATTTTACTCTAGACATTCATTCTGCAATTTCTCTTGGAAAAATTGTAGTGATCACCAGGAAGTGTGAAGATTACCTTTTTAAAATATTTTAAAATAGCCACCCGGTACCTGTCTTCATGGTCTGACTTCCTGCCTTAACCTGAGCTGATCTATGATTGTGACTGAAGGACTTGTGTTATTTTAATTTTTTTTCGTGTTGCTGTGATAAAACACTCTGACAGAATCAACTTGAGAAAGGGTTTATTCTGGCTATAGGTCAAGGATACAGTACATTATGGTGGGAAATTCAGAAACAACAGGAACTTGTAGCAGCTGGTCACATGGCATCTCCTGTCAGGCATCAAAGAGTGATGGTTGCTGGTGCTCAGTTCCATACAATCTATATAGCTTCATATAGTCTATAGCCCCATGTAGTTTATATAGCTCCATATAGTCTATAGCCCCATGTAGTTTATATAGCTCCATATAGTCTATAGCCCCATGTAGTCTATATAGCTCCATATAGTCTATAGCCCCATATAGTCTATATAGCTCCATACAGTCTATAGCTCCATATAGTCTGTAGTTCCATACAGTTCTATATAGTCCAGGATCTCAGCCCCAGAAGTATTGTTACCCAGAGTGGGCAGACCTTCCATCTCCGTTAATGCAATCAAGGTAATCTCCCACAGGTATGCCAAAATTCTGTCTCCCAGGCGATTCTAGATCCTGTCAGGTTGACAACTGATACCATCATATGAGCCCTTCAGACAGGTCACTCTGCTTTGTGTCATACACAGCCTATGATCACGTCCCAGAGATAGTAAGATATGACACAACCTAAGACAGCTAATAAAAAAGAGCCAAGACAGTGTCTGACTCTGTAGCCTTGGATACTGATTACTTGAGGCAGGGCAGCCCCCATCAGCCCAGCCAAATGAAATGCTCCTTCCCTGAGATGTTCCCAGATTCTGATTCATCAGATGGCCCCATGTGAACTCAAGCCTTAACATTTTAGATAAGATGTTGGCTGTTTTTTCCCCCCTTGGGGATGAGGACATGGCCCCACTGGTTATTTCTCTGATGTTTGCTCTTCTGTCTGGTAAGGTTTACGAACCAAATGGAAAGCAGGACAGTGGTTTCTGGTCATCATTTTCATCCAGATACTTCTGTACCCTTTCCTGGCTATATTCATGTTTGTAAGGTTGTAGCAAAGTGTCATGAACTTAGTGTTTTAAAAAGAAGCTTTATGTTCTTGTATTTCTAAATGGAAGCCTTAGATGGGAGTGTCCATTGAACTGGCTCCTTCTGAAGCCAGGAGGAAGAAATTGCCCGTGGTTTTTCCTGGCTTCAGAAGTTTGCAACAATCCTTGACCTTCCTTACCTTGTAGGTATCCCAGTCTTTGCCTCACCTTCTCTGTCCTTCACATAATTTTTCCTCTCTGTGTCTCTTTCCAAATTTCCCCTTCTTATAAGGCCACGAGGCATCAGACATGTTTGATTAGGCCCATCCTAATTATCACCTTTTAATGTGATCACTTCTGGAATGACTCCATCTCCAAATAAGGGTGCATTCTGAGATTCTGGGGACAAGGAATTCAACACAGGGATTTGAGGAGGACACAGTTCAGCTTGTAGCACTATTCTGACCTATATAACACAGACCCTACCCCAGACTAAGCTTCCTTCTTACTTCAAGGACTGTGGGGTTTACCCTGGGCTTCTATTTACCTTCCAACCACCTTTACCTCCTCTGTTTCAAATGTGGGTGCTCTAGCTGCTTGTGCTCTTTGGAACTCCAAAGCTAACCTAGAGCAGATCCCAGGAGGGGTCTGGAATCCGAAATCTTCACAGACCCCCATTTCCCAACTCCAGCCTAGATAACATCCCTTGAAGCTTAGAGTGCAGTGCCTAGAGCTCAGTCCTCTGCCCAACTGATGCTTCTGATTTGACAGAATCGCCCACATGAATGTCTCTGTGTTCACACATGGGCCAACTCCAGTCATCCAAACACAGACTGGTGGTTGGCCTCTTGCTCAGGGATGGAACTCACACTAGGCACTAGAATCCCACCAGTGGCAACAATGGACTTGTGGCTGGGAGCAAATCTGTTTGCATAAATGTACTTACTTCCTTTTCATTCTCAAACCCTAGCAATTGCTCCTAGAAAAATGTGAAACTCTGTCCTAACTGCTTCATGACATTTTCAGGCAAGTTTGTGCAGATTAAATTAATTTAGTCCCTCTTGGATAGTACAGTTTCTTTGCTTCTGCCAAGGTGGCTTTTTGTTTGCTTGTTTTTAGAGGGGTTTGTTTATTTTTGAGATAGGCCTGGCTGTCCTGGAACTTGCTCTGTAGACTAGGCTAGTCTCAAACTCAGAGATCTACCTATCTCCCTCTGCCTCACATGTACTGGGATTAAAGATGTGCACCACCATCACCAGCCCAAAGTGGCTTTTAAAAGTGACCAGCTGCTTTTTCCATTGTGAATATGGATGTTAGGGAGATCCTGACCAGGTCTCCTCCCTAACCTAAGATGCTAACATTGTTGGTATGTGTTTTAGGTACAGAAACACATCCATGTTCTTCACCCTCTCCATGTACAACACAGGAAGCCATGTGTATGTGTCGTGGCTAATGAATGTGGCTCACATGCCAAACAGACTTTCAAATTAAGGACAAATCTTCCTGGCTGTGTAGCCAGGTTTCTCTTCTTTTGAACGTAATTCCTTGAGGTAAACAGTAATGAACTTGACAGGTTTGCCTGACACTTCCCCTGTCCTTGCTGGGCCTGGGGTAATGGGATGCTGAAATGATTGCTGAAGAGTGATGCTGAGCGACTTGTCGGCACTGTCCCTGCACCTGACCTTCAGGGTCATTTTTACCCCAAGTGCTACCACTCTTTGTTTTCCATCCCATATCCCGTTCTTGCCATCTGTGCCAAGGAGTCAAACCATACAAACCCTAGGGCTTTTTTTTGTTTTTTAATTTTGTCTTGCCCTCTTCTTTTTCTTTCTTTATTTTTATGTGTTTTTATTGTTTGGGTGAATGTGTACTGGGAATTGAACTCAGCCTTGCAGATGCTGGTCAAGTACTCTACTACTAAGCTACATTCTTACCCTAGTATGAAGCTTAGGGTTAGGGAAAATAATCTACTAACAAATTTCATATGGCTTAGTCTAGTATGGTTGAGAAAGTGGGTGGACGATTAGACTGGTAGATTAAAAATAGATATAATACCTAGTGTGTGTAGAATGATCTAGAATTAATTTTTAAAAACAAACCTATTCCCTGAAGAACAGTACTTAACTGAGAACATGAGCCCCATGATTTCCAGGGCTCTTAGCTTAACTATCAGGAACGTGGTCTTTATTCCTGGGCGTAGGGCATAGCCTTGTTCATCACAGAGATCCTACTAAAAGGGAGGGGGCATGGTGGACCCCAACCCACCCACTCCACAGTGCAGCCTTGCCAGTCCTGCTGTTGGTATTTTCTGCCTTTCACTCTGCAAAGTGACCTCCTATCATCAAGGCTGTGGTGTTTGCTCCTCTGAGCCGTGGTCACTCTTTGAGGGAGCACCTGACTCTGTCATAGCTGTCTGGCAACTTTGCTTCTTCCATAGCTTGAGTTCATCCTCCCTACAGCCCTGACCACTCCTATGCTCCCCCTTTTGCAGAAGGAATCCTAAGGAAAGGCGCCAAGCTCTTCTTCCGCCGGCGACACCAACAGAAAGACCCAGGCTTGAGCCAGTCACATAACGACCTGGTATTCCTGCAGCAGCCGGAGGGGAGGCAGAAGAAGGGGGCGACCCTCGGCCGGTTCCTGAACAGAAAGCTGCTTACCAGGCACAGAGGCAAACACACCATGAATGGAGCACCCAGAGAGCCCTGCATATAGCCCAAGTCACCCCCTATCCTCACAGCTGAAGAATGGGGAACACAAAGGCCCCAACCAGAACAGCAGGAACCAGTGCCATCAGATGCCTGCTTGTCTAGCTTGTATTTTTTCCCTACTAATCTTGTCTTTAAAAGGGAAAAAAACCAATCTGTGTCTATGGCTACGAAGCTTCCCCTGAGAGGACTGATAACACAGTCTAATTTGCTACACTCAGTGTCTGGTTCCAGCTTCACCATGCCATCAAAGCGCTGAGAGGGAACATAAGAGGGAGACTTGCATCATTAAAGCCATGTGCAATCTGATGGACTATGGATGGTAGGCAGAAGGGATCCCAGTCCACCTACTTCTCTCCTGCAGGACTATTGGGGTTCATGTCTGGACCATGTCATGAGGTGTCCCTCTGGGTTGTTGCTATGAGCAAGATGGGCTACCTCACCTAACTTGTTTAGAATTAAAAGGTGCACCTGGTCCTGGAGGCAAGGGTATGGATATAGGCAGGAATTCTGACCCATGGGAAAAATAGGAAAAGATGTGCTTTGACAAGTACGAGGTGTTCACCTTTGATATTAGCCATAGAAATTAAAAACATATGCAAACACTAAGTGCGTTCTATGAAGATGGTGCCAGACACTTCCAGTTTTACTCTAGCCTTCTTGCAAGTGGAGGTGTAGAAATTCAGATGTGTTTCTTTGTTTCTTATGTCAGGGGCTCTGTTTTTTCCCATAGTACAGACAGCATGCTGAGCTCAAATATGCTAAGGGTGATAATAGGAGCAGTGAATGACAGCTTATAGGATATGACCATATATATATATATATATATATATATATATATACACACACACACACATATACATACATACATACACACACAATATACATATATACACACACATACACACACACATATATATATGGTTCTTGTCAAATATAGCTAACAGCCAAAACAAAGAACTTTTAGGGCAACTGAGGAAATTACTCTGTATCTCAGGTGCCAGTTAGTCTTAGGCGTAGAAGTTCTATAACAATGGGCCAAACTTGCAGAAATTCTTTTTATGGGATCTCAGAATTTTACTGTGAACAGAGGCGTCTGGTCACATTTTAGGGTATTATGGTTTTGGTTTACTGTGGGAAAATTATAAAGTTGGCACCTGGCTTCAGTGTCCCCACATAAGGTCCATAGGGTGTTGTCTTAATCTGTGTGCCTGGCACTGTGGATGTGCTGGGTCTCAGAACCCTCTAGAGCCATTGTCTTTGGGTTAGGGTGTCTGTTTTCTTCCCATAGCAGTGGAAAGGCTGACAGTAAAACCTGTGAGCTCTGTCACTGACATGAAATCAGGAACTTCCTTCTGGCGTCTTCTGTTCATTAGAAACATGTATTTCAGGGGCAAAGTCACTGTTGACCAAAAACGTCTATGATAGCCAACATTATAGGAAAATGTTCTTTTTTTTTCTTGTTTTAGCAAGAAAGATTCGTAAACTACATTTAGAAATCATTTTTCTTCCTTTCTATTCGTTCCCAAAGATCTTGGGATTAAACCTGTATCTTTGTGCACAGGAGACAAGCCCTTATCTGCTGAACTGTTTCCCTGGCTCTCTTTTCACTTTTTGGTTGTCATAGTAGGTTTGACTGCTGTGAACAGACAATCATGACCAAGACAATTCTTATAAGGACAACATTTAATTGGGGCTGGCTTACAGATTCAGAGGTTCAGTTCATTATCATCAAGTGGGAGCATGGCAGCATCCAGGCAGGCATGGCACTGGAGGAGCTGACAGTTCTACATCTTATTTAGAAGTCAGCTAGGAAAAGACTCTCTTTTGCACTGGGCAGAACTTCAAAACCCACACCCACAGCTATGCACTTCCTCCAACAAGGCCACGCCTCCAATTAGTACCACTCCCTGGGCCAAGCATATTCAAACCACCACAATCATCATCATCATAATTATTGTCATTATTGAGCTAAGGTTTTACTAAGTTGTTGCCTGGGCTGCTGCCCTGTAATTCATTCTGTAGCCCAAACATATCTTGAAACTCTGATTCTCCTGCCATCATCTCTCAAGTTGCTGTGAGTACAGACCTGAGCCACTGGGCCCAGTGAACTTTACTTTCAAATAAACATTTGAAAATTCTTTATGGGTGTGGTGACACAGGCCTGCAATCCTAGCACTTAGATGGTGGAGAGAGGAGAATGTTAGCTTCCACCTCAACCTGGGCTATAGGAGACCCCCCCTTCTCAAAACAAGCAACAACAAAAATAGAACAAAAAGAACCTGGAAGACTCTTAAGTAGTTCTCAGATGACTCTGAAGAGACATTTTAAATATGCTTTGTCTTTTAAGATCACTAAATGTTATTCACTGCAAAGTTCTAGAATGATCCATCCCAAAGCCAGTAATCCCCACTGCTTTTTGGAAATGGAAGTAATTTAAATGCTGTGCTTTACTTGAAGTATTGTTACTCTATGCAGTGTGCAGAATTGTGATCCATAGCTGTCAATTCCCAGAGACTACAGGTGCCAGGAATTTTGATTCTGATGCAAAATACATAGTGTAAGATAATCACACTGATGTATTTTCAGTGTGAGCAGTAGCCCTCATCCAGCATACTTGAGGCCAGAAGTGTTTCAGATTTCTTTTGGATCTGGGGATATCTTGATACGACTTTACCATCTAAGCATCCCAAAATATAAAAATTTCAGAAATATGAAACTCTTTGCACACTGTGGTGCATACAGAGTTTTGGGTTTTAGACTTTGGGTTAGGGATGCTCAGCCTAAGCAGGTTTTATTGGTTTTGGCATTTAGGTTAAGTCTATCCAAGTATGAAGGTATTAGAATTTTAGGTTATACATTTTCTTAGCAAGAACAAAAAAGAACAAATAATTTTGTATCAATCCTAGCCCACAAATAACTCTGTGAGCATCTTGCTCCTGGCTTCCCAACCACATCTGAGATCGGCTTCCTCTCGGGTCTCCATTGAGTAGCCTTTCCCAGTTGTGAACATCATCACAGCAGAGGGTGCAGAGATGGGGGACACAAACAGGTAGCCTCAGGGAGTAACCTGAGAAAATGGGCCTTCCTCATACTATAAAATCCCTTCTCCAAGCTGTTTATTTCCTTCTGTTTCTTCATAGTGTAAGATAATTATGTTGAAATGCACATCGTTAAGATTGTGTACTAGGTGCCAACAGCACACATGCATCAGTCACCTCTGTCCAACAAACTTCACTACATTCTTTGGTGACTTCAGTTGCTGTCTTAAGATTTTGGCAGAGTGCTGGTTTTAAAGCAATTTTTCACGAACACTAATCCATGTGCCTGTGAATCTGTAAGCAGAACTCAGGTTGGCTGGAGTTGGCCACATTTCCCCTGTCCTCCATGCAGGGACTGGATAGAGCTGTTGGTGTGATGTTGAGTAGCAGTAACAGAACGAGGGCGCCCGTGCTCTGACTGAGAACATACTATGAGCAAGAGGATTTAGACAAAGCACTTTATTTTACATTTTAGTTCAGGTTCAGAACTACCCTGCTTCCTCGCTGTGGCTGCTTGGCCATTTATTGCTGACCAGTTCCAAATCGGATTTTTGTTTGAGTTTTCCCTGGCCATATTTACAGAAAAGAGTTGTGAATTTTCTTATGCAGAAAGGGAAAGATTAATTTACATTGCTGCCACCCAAAGTGTTGTGTTTTTGTTGTTGTTGTTGTTTTGTTTTTTTGTTTTGGTTAATAAGCTCAGGGCTGTCAAATCCTGAACTTTCGAAGGTCAAGTTGATAGATGGTAGAAGGCAAAATGTGTCTGTCATAGAAACAGGTGTGGGCACTGACTGACAACCAGGCATTGGCTCCACTATCCCAACAGGTGAAAAGACTTGAGGACCAAAGCACCTGCACAGGGACAAAGACACTGTTCAAACCAGCAGTGCAAGCTCCTATCACCTCTGGCTCTTTACAAAAAAATGTCCATTTTCTGTGTATAGATAAGTTTTGGGCTCACCAAGCTGCCTGGCTCACTTTGCTGATGTTGGAATGAAGATGTGATTATCCCTCGGGCTGTAAGCTGTGGCTTTCTGTCCACTGTCACGTCAAATCTCTGTGGCAAAGAGAATAAGAGTAAAGGCTTCCCAGGTGTGTGACAAAGCTGATGCTGGTGTGTGGCGACTGGCGTCTGTGAAAAGGATTGTATTTGTTACAACAGACATGGGTGGCTTAGGATGTCATGCAGTAAGACATGGCTGGAACTTTATTGACCTCTCAAGAAATAAATGTGCTCACAGAAAACTTTAAGCTGAGTTGTTTCCAAGTGCTGGGTTGTCATAAGAATACCAGGGGCTTCTCTTATGTTTGAATTACTGCCATCCATTGTCCTTTTGTATGACTGGCCATCGCAGCCAGGTACAGAAAAGATGTACTAATACCTGCTTTGACCCTCATTCCGGGCAATGGATTTTCCTCCTCGTGTTTCTATGTTTTGTATGCTATTGAGCACCACCCAGGCCATATTGGGGCTAAAATTTACTATGCAATTTTAGCGGTCTCAGGGACCTTCTAAGAGATGATGAATTGTGGGTGCTGCAAGCCAGAATCTGTCCTGGCCCAGGTCCCCAAACTGTGCCTATTATGGCCTGTGGGAGACATATCTGGGGAGTGAAGGCAGGGGACATTCATTAGTTTGGGTCCTTGCCATCAGTGCTGCATCCCAGCAGAGGGAATAGGTCATAGCTTAGCCATGGGAGCCGTGGCTATGTGACAGCATTTATGCTTTCATGGGACATGGCAGTGGTTTCTGGGCTGGGACTGGGGCAGCCTTGCTGCCTACTGCAAGCATCTCATCCTCTTTGTGGTCTTCAGTTTCTGTGGTCTCCTTCACTTTGCCCCGCCATATGCACATGCATTTGGAGAGATGCTGCATTGAGGAACCACCAGGGAGACCATCGAAGATTTGCTCACTCTTCAGCCCTATTCAGCCTGCTTGCCTCTGAGACAGCATGTGGGGTGGCCATCATCACTGTCATCTGCCCATCAGGATAAGTCACCCTAGCCAAGCCCCATCCATTTTCTGCATCAAGAGTGGCATCTATCTGTGGCTGTGATAAAATACCCTGACAAGAAGCAATTTAGGGAAGAGAGGGTTTATTTTGGCTCATAGTTCCAGAAGGATTAGAGTCCATTATGGCAGAGAAGGCATGGCAGTCATCAGAGAAAGCACAGTGGACAGGAGCAGGAAGCTGGCTGGTTACATTGTCATTCACATGCAAATCCAAACAGGAAGTGAGGCAAAGCTATAAACCTAGAGAACCCAGTGGTGTACTTCCTTCAGCAAGGCTGTACCCCTTAAAGCGGTGGTTCTTAACCTGTGACCCTTTTAGGGGTTGAAAGACCCTTTCACAGGTGTCACCCAAGGCCACTGGGAAACAGATATTTACAGTACGTCAGTAGCAAATTTATAAATTTACACAGCAAATTTACTACAAAATAGTAGCAAAATTACAGTTATGAAGAGCAACAAAAGTAATTTTATGGTTGGAGGCTATACCATGAGGAACTGTATTAAAGGGTTGCAGTGTTGGGAAGGTTGAGAACCACTGTCTTTGTTTGTTTGTTTGTTTGTTTTAAAGATTTATTTATTTATTTCATGTATGTGAGTACACTGTAGCTGTCTTCAGACACACCAGAACACCAGAAGAGGGCATTGGATCCCATTACAGATGGCTGTGAGCCACCATGTGGTTGCTGGGAACTGAACTCAGGAACCTCTGGAAGAGCAGTCAGTGCTCTTAGCCACCGAGCCATCTCTCCAGCCTGAGAACGACTGTCTTAAAGGTTCCATAGCATCACCCAGACAGTAGCATCAACTGGGGATCAAGTGTTCAAATACCTGATCCTATGGGAGGCCTTTTTCATTCAGACCCCAACAGGAGAGGAGACCTAACTACTGGAGAAATGGCAGCACTCTCACTCCCAGTTCCTCAGCCTCACATACTACACAGGGCAAGGCAGTGATGGCAATGTCTGTGTCTGGGGTCAGAGTATGTTAGGATTGGAGGGGCTGGGGGACTGTTCCCTCCTCTGTAGACCATGCAGGTCTGCTTTGTGCTGGCATCCTGAGAGGGTACTAGAGGGCCAAACTGATCACAATTTACCATCTGTCCAGGCTGATCTCCGCTGGCACCTCCAGAGGAATTCTGAACAACCCATCTTCCCTGTCAGGGTTGGTCCATATCAGCCACCCTTGGTCATTCTAGAATGCACACATTCATTCTCAGCATCACCCCTATACTATTACACTGGGCAGACTCAGGCCCTGCCTTCTCATGAACTAGCCAGCAAAAAAGACTCACAAGAACAGCTGCCTACCATGGTTAATCCACATGTTCCCCTCTTGTGCTTAGCTTTGCTGAATGTAGGTATTTTAGCAGGTATCTCACACTCCTGGTATCTCTAACTTCCCATCTCCTTCCCTAATTTTTCAGTTTTTACTCTGCTGGCTTCAAATACCAATGGTCCTTTCAGTGGCTCTCCACAATTATTTTGACCTTGTAACATATTGTTTGGCCTCCACGATCTTCCTCTGAAATCTGAAAAACCCCATAACTTTTGTGTATTGAATGTATGCAAAACCAGTATCATGTGGATACTATCAAAGACTCTTGCCAGCTCAAAAAGTAGCTGGTTTCTTGGGTCACCACTACTGTGACCTGAGTGCTTAGCCAGCTAAATATGGTGAAAACAACTTTGAGGTCACAACTTCCTATGGGGGCCCTGTAGGAGCAGGGAGCCCTGACATTGAGAGCTCTTGACATAGAAAATCTTTCAAGTAAGTCTGCTTTCATACTCTGTCCCAAGGCAAAGTGTAAAGCTTATAGTAGGCAATAATCCATTCAGCCTCCATGTCTTCCTTAGCCTCAGATTTACATTTTTTTTTACTGTGACCTGTCAATTTTTCCTCCTGTAAACAGCCTGATTTTATTTACACATTTAGTCCTGTTTCATATGTAGAAGTTGAAAGAAGTGGCCTTCTGAGCACTTTAGAATGAGCAATATCAATGAAAGTGGTATAGGGGATGGTGGGGTGTGTATCTGTTTTTAAAGTGTCTTAAAATCCAAAGATGTCCTTGTCGGCTCTCATTCGAAAACATACACACTCTAACCCTAACTCTTCAGTCCACATACCATCTGGCCAACTCTCATGGATCACGCAGCTCCTCTCCCCAGCTTTTTTGTTCACTCAGTTCCTTCTCTTGGATCCTCACAGCCAGCTTCATCAGCTCTTCATACATTCTCCTGTCCCCCTTCCACATTGTCAGTTACCCATGCAGGAAGGCAATTATCCTCCATGTCTGCAACCATGCATCTCTGTCCCTGGGTTCCTCAATTCACGTAGCCGTTTCCTAGGCTCACTGTGTACAAAGCCTCAGCCAGCTCCCACTACACGCAGACCGTTATCCCTGACTCCCTGTTAAGGCAACCTGAAGTCCCCGGCTCCGGGTGCAGCCACCACGAGCCCTGGGCCCGCCCCGTCGGCCTGCGCTGCGCACTACAACTCCCACGATGCCGCGCCACCGCCCCCCGGCTTCCGGTGCTGCGCAGTTTCCGGAGCGGATCGCAACCCGGAGTCCGGATCCGACCCCGCTCTGCACATTCCACAGGCAGGTAAAGCCCCGGGCCCGTGCTCGCCGCAGCCCCACCGCGCGCCCCCCGCTGCGGTCCGCGGCCCGCGCCTGGCCCGGGCCCAGCCTCCAGCTGCACCCCCCCCACACCCGCCCCGGTCCGGCCGCCGCGCCGCCTGTTCTTTGTTACAGTCGCGGCCGCGGGCGCCGTGGGCGATCGGAGTCAAAACCCGGCTGGATTCCGGAGCCGCTCCGGGATCGCCCTGCGCCCGCCGGGTTCCGCCGCCGCGGGCTTGGCCTCTGCCCTAAGTGCCCGGCCTGGGTTCCGCGCACCCGGCCCGTGCCAACTGCCCGCCGCGCGCTCGGCCCACGCCAACCGGCGCCCGGCCGCCCACTCGCGGGCTGGGCGTCCCCCGCCCCGGCGCGGGTTCAGGCGCTGCGCCCCAGTGTGCCCAGGCCCAGCGGCCACAGCCAGGCCCTGCGTGGTTGCGGGCTTTGGTTCCTACAGTCCCTTCCCGGCTACCCGGCCGCCTTACCCGGTTTTCGGGCACAGCCCAGGGAGGGGCCTTAGTCTCCAGCCCCTTTGGCGTTTAAGAAAGTCCGAGGCTGTGCTGTGGCTCCCAGGCCCTGGCGCCTTATTCGTCTCTACCTTTTGGTGGCTCAGGGACCACAGTGGCAAGACAGGCAGGAGACATGTGCCCGCCTACTATCTGGGAAGAGGGTGGACTGGTGGGGGCCAGGGTCAGGTGGAGCCTGCATGCTCCCGAGGTGAGTTTTGAGGGGACAGAGGTAGGACACCAAACCGTGGTGGGCGAGGGCGCATTTATCCTACCTTCCACCCCCAACCCTTCTTGCAGTGGATGGAGGGCCTCTTCACACATGCTCACAAGCGTCCCCCTCCTCCGAGGTTGTTTAAAATGGTAGAAGCAAGAATGTGAGCTGGAGACACGTGGACCTGTGCCTGAATTTAAAGCTGCCAACGCTTCTTTTGAAAACATATGCTAGAGCCGGTCAGAATCCTCCGATGGAAGTGCTTGTGCAGAGCCCTGCTTGGGGTCCTGAAGGTAGTTTTAAGGGTAAAACTTGAAGTCTCTGACTATGGGAACCACTCATGGGTGGCAGAGACAAGTGTCCCTGGAGAGTGTAGAGTAGTTGCTGAGACTTGATCACCTACACACCCCAACCATATTTTGCTTCAAACCTACCGGCTCTCCACATTTTACCTACTGCAGCTGCTTCCTCAGACATGCCCTGAAATCGCTGCTTTACACTGAAATAAAACCTTTAGATCAGATTATTAAAGGGAAAAAAGCACTAAATTTTCTCCTTACGGGTTTGTTTTTCTATGATTCATGCTTTTGCACAAATGTCAGCAAAGAATATACTAGTTGAATATATACTAGAGAATATATAGTTCTCTTTGGGGAACAGACAAGGTAGTTTGTGTTTCCAGAAGACAAATGGATAAATTAAAACACCAATCACAGCTAGGTTGATAGCAAATGCTTATAATCCCAGTACTCTGGAGGCTAAGGCAGGAGGTGATGTTCACGGAAGCCTGGGCCACACAGACAAAGTCACCTACAATTACAAGGCTGTCTTAGAGAAGGACCACTGTTCCCATGGGGTGTCCACCTGTCATTTTTTTTTCTTGAAAGGTTATCTGTGCAGAGGGTA